TACTGGAGGCCAGGTTCCTGAAATCTAGATTATTGGTCAGTAGTAAAATTAGAACACAAAATGGCACCGAAGAAAGGCCAGGGGAATAAGAAAGGAAAACAGCTGATGAAAAAACAACCAGTACCTCAGATTTCACCACCACAGTCTTCATCTGATGAGGACTCATGGCTCATAAGGCAGCAACCCCAAGACAGGATTTCTGCCCTTGAAGCTGCTAAGTCGGCTAGGGGCAACCCCTTAATCTAGTGAGGCACAGCCATGCCAGTCGGCAAGAGAATCCAAAGATCACACTAGAGCTAGGCTTAGGGCTTTCGCAAACAACTTAATGACAAGGTTTACCATTTTAGAAGCTGAACAGCACAACGAAGGAACGTTGGGATGGGAAGTCGAAGGGATGATGGCCCAGGCATCACATTGGGACAGGGACAAAGAGAGGTCCACTCCAATTGCGGTACTGTTCAGCACGCCGGCCTTGAGTGGACTGGAGACAACTGGTGATGCTGGTCAGGACGGCTCAGGGAGCAGGGACGAGCCAGTTACAACGCTTTTATCAGGTGAGTCCACTAGCACACACGATACCTCACCACAATTCCTGGCATGGCCTGGGTGGGGCACGGGGCAAACACTTGCACTTGACACATCCATATCATTTCTAGCTTGGCCTTGGCCGGGCAGCAGTTTAAACGCTGTGCATGGCTCATGAGCTAATTGTTGTTTAGTCATTAAGTCGTGTCTAACTCTTTGTGACCCCATGGACCAGAGCACCCCAGGCCCTCCTGTCTTCCAATGCCTCCCAGAGTTCGGTCAAAATCATGGTCGTTGCTTCGGTGACACTATCCAACCATCTCATCCTCTGTCATCCCCTTCTCCTCTTGCCTTCACAATTTCCCAACATCAAGGTCTTTTCCAGGGATTCTTCTCTACTCATGAGATGGCCAAAGTATTGGCGCCTCAGCTTCAGCATCTGTCCTTCAAGTGAGCACTCAGGGTTGATATCCTTCTTGAGCTAATTAGGTCCACTTAAAGAAAGGAAACAAAAACAACATTGATTAGGTGATGGTCAGGCACCTTCCTAAATGCACTTTTTCCATCCTTACATTCTCTTTCCTCCTTCCAGCTGTGCAGTGCCACCCCCTACCAGATGTGCCAAACGGGAGTTACAGCAACCAGAAAGACACAGCATATACCCCTGAAATGTTTGTGAATTACACCTGTGATCCTGGCTATGCTCTTATTGGAGAGGCCACTATTTATTGCACATCATCAGGGACATGGTCTTCCTCTGCCCCATTCTGTGAAGGTAAACTTTGTCACAACAAGGTGGTCCATCTTGACAAACCACAGCACTGAGAGTCAGTATTCACACTCAGGGCAATGCAAACGGGAAGTGTCCTGCTTAGGAGGCACCTGAATGTGAAAGAAACTAATACCTCACCATAGCTTGGTTTTTTTTTAATATTGGCACAGGCTACTCGGTGCTTCTTCACGAAGGTGTGAGATATTGGGCAGAAGAGTGCAGTGGACTGGTGACGTTCCCTTTTGTCAGCGTACGTGGAACATGACTTGGCATCTCTGTATCTCTATTGTATTCCGGATGAGCTCCTTCACGATACAGTTTCACGGTTTCAGGGCCTCTCCAAAATATGTGTGGGGAAGAAGGGAAAAGCTGGTGTGAGCTCCACCACTGACTCCTAGAGTAGGGGCAGGGGGCGACCCGGCCTCATGTGGATAACCATGAGCTCCCAATCTGAGACAATCCTGGGTTTATTCTGAGGGAGGCAGGGATTGCAGACCTGGTTCTTCGACTGGCAACCCCTTTCCGCTCTGAGTCTCATGTTGTGGCAGAGAAGGTTGGAGAGTTTCCTGCACTGCCCCCGGGTCTCTTTGGTTGGTTAGAATGGTCGTTTCCTCCACTGGGGAGAGACAGAATAGAAACCACAGAGCTCCCAGGAAGTCTTGTGCAAATCTGGCCCCTTTCAGGGAGGATTTGCAACTCCCTTCGGAGCCCTCCCTAGGTTGTCGTCTGACCCTCTTGCAGACGCCTGAGGTTTCCTCCAGTTTCGCCAGGCTCCACCTCTCTTCTCCCTCTCCCACCTCTTCCTTCTCTAACTTTATGGCTCATTCAGCCCAGCCGTTTCTGCCTGTCCCATGTGCTGGCCTTTCTCCCTTGCAGCTGCCTCCTTTTCCTAGGCGGGCCATCCCATACCAGCGACCCCCTGAGCTCTGATGGTTTCTGTGTCCAGCAAGCCTTCCTGGGGATGCAGACAAGATCAAACGGCCTACTTGGTGTGCTGCCCAACGCCATCTCCTCACAGACAGATTAGCATTGCTGCAGTTAATCAGCCTCACACTGGGTGATGAAACCTTTATATATGACTAGGATGCAGCTTTATGACTATCACGATCAAACTAAATGAGATAGTCAGTTCAAATATACAAGTTAGTATTGGCTCATTATCCCTCCAGAAACAAGGATTCAGGAAAGGAGTTAACTCTCCTTCACTGGAGAATTACACAAATCTTGCCGTCAATCAAAGATATTCCGCATGCCACAGGATTGCTCACTTCAAATTAAAAGAAATAGCTACCAGTTAAGCCTGTAATATGTGCCTTCTGATGGTTGTCCCTTTAGGTATCCCATGTTTCCCACCGCCAGACATTCCTCATGGCACACACAGTGGCAGATACGAGGATGACTTCACTTATGGGACAGTCGTAACATATACCTGTGAAGACGGCTACCCGCTTCTCGGAGATGCCCACATTCACTGTACCTCTAAGGATGGGTTCCATGGAGAGTGGAGTGGCCGTGTATATTGTGGAGGTGAGCTTTTCAGTTCTCCTGTGCTTTGTGGAGAAAAGACGAAAGCATGGGTATCTGGTAGTATGGTATTTTGGTAGTGAGCGCATATATATTTTCTTCCCCACCTCAAAATATATCGAGCGCTTCGTTTAATACGAATCCTCATAAATATGATTGCATTGCAATGTTTTAAATGGAAAAATATCGCTTTGCGATGATCGTTAAGCTGTTTCGCTTACCGATATTTGCATCGCAATGTTTTCCTAACAGCTGATCGGCGGTTCCAAAATGGCTACCGCATTAAAAAAAACGGCCTTCCGAGGTGTTTTCGCACCCATTCCTCGCTTACCGGGCAGCGAAAATGGTGGCCGTATGGAGGATTTTAGCATAACAGTGAGTTTTTTGCCCATAGGAATGTATTAAACGTGTTTTAATGCATTCCTATGGTCTCTTTTGTTCCGTATAGCGACGAATCCACATAGCGATGATTTTTCTGTAACGGATTATCATCGTTATGTGGGGCACCACTGTAATCCAGTCTCAATATTGCTCAACAGCTAGTCAAAGCTAACATATCCATCCATGATATGGCATCCAAAGAGCTAAAGAGAGAGACATAGAAACAAACCTGCTCTTCTTCCCCTCTTCATTGTTCTAAAATGTCTCCTCTTTTCAGTGAGGGAGTGTCCACCGCCTCAGCTTGAGAATGGGAGGATTATTCGCGGGGTTTCTCAAAAGTACATACATAACCAAAGTGTCACGTTTGACTGCAACAAGGGCTACATGATGTCTGGCTCAAGAGAGATCCGTTGCCAGATGGACGGCATGTGGGAGCCACCTCTCCCTCACTGTGAACGGGGCAAGTATATGGAGGAAGCTCTCCCTTTGAAAGAGCATGACGTTTAACAAGGAGAGCCACTAGGTAGTAGGGATGTGCCAGGAAGGGATGCAATATCACAAGAAAAAGCAGAGAAACGCCCTGCCCTCCCCCCTCACCCTGCCATCTTGGATGGGTACAGGCAAGACACGCTTTGTCTTCTCTGGATTGGTCCACTTAAAGAAAAGAGCTGAAACCATCACTGATTAGGTGATGGCCGGGCATATACCTAAATCCGCTTTTTCCATCCAACCGTTCTCTTTCCTCCTTGCAGCTGTGCACTGCCAGCCCCCACCAGATGTGCCAAATGGGAGTTACAGCAACCGGGAAGCCACAGCATTTACCCCTGAAATGTTTGTGGATTACACCTGTGATCTGGGCTATGCTCTTATTGGAGAGGCCACTATTTTTTGTACATCATCAGGGACATGGTCTTCCCCTGCCCCTCGTTGCAAAGGTAAATGTTTCCACTATAAGGCAGTCCATTTTGGGAAACCACAGCACTGAGAATCTGGATTCACACTCCAAACAAAGTGTGCTGCTTCTATACCATTCCTTACTGCATGAAGCAGTCTCTGGGCAGTGCACAATTGAATTCTGCAGAATACTTATCGGCTCTGCCCATAGCAAGATTGGTACCCAATTAACTAACCTTGGAAGGATGAAGGGCTGAGTCCATCTTGAGCTGACTTCCTTGAATCCATTTTTATCAAGCTCAGGTGGTGGGCAAAGTCTTGGCTGAAGTTCTACATTTTGAACACTGTGCCTCCTGGCCCCTACAACCATTTATGCATTGAAAAGTATGCTTCCTGACCAATCTGAGAATGAAGATGCTTCAGTTATTCCTGTTTTCTCAGATGGGTCTTTTGGAGTGTCAGAATTCACTTCTGTATGGCAGTGGTATCACTTGCTAGTAGGTGTACATCTCTAATATGTTTATCATTGAGCAGCTGGTATGGTTGATCACTAGAATCATCAGACTAGTCTTCATTTATATTTATTTATTTATTTGATTTATACCCTACCTATCTGGCCCGCCGGGCCACTCTAGGTCCGTGCGCGGGCCTAGACCCTCTTTTAAATATATGGCGGTTAGACATAAACTATTGTGATATGATTCGGGCAGCTTCTTTCCTGGGCCAGGCAAATCCCATTGCGAGAAAAGACTGACTTGCATTAACTCCTAAGCCTGGTAATTTCATAGCAGTGTGTTTTGGTACTGCAAGTATTTTCATATCCTCCCTATCCCAAAATAATGATAATCTGTTACACATATTGCTAAGCAGCCCATCAAAAGTAATCCATTTGTCCATGATATGGTGTCCAAGGAACTCAAGAAATAGACACAGAAATAACCTTGTCTTCTTATTTTTCTCTCTCTCTCCCTTCATTGTTCTAAAACACCTTCTCTTTTCAGTGAGGGAGTGCCCACCGCCTCAGCTTGAGAACGGAAGGATTGTGGGTGGTCTTTCTGACACCTACAGACATAACCAAAGTGTTACCTTGGACTGCCACAATGGCCACACGATATCTGGCTCAAGAGAGATCCATTGCCAGATGGATGGCACGTGGGAGCCTCCTCTCCCTCTCTGTGAACAGGGTGAGGATCCGGACAAAGCTCTCCCTTTCTCAGAGCAGTATCTATCACCATAGGGATGTGCCGAGCCGCATCTATCTATATGTGTTTTCGTGTTTCTTGTGTGCATGAAAGGGAAAGCCTCTTCCGGGTTATTGATTCATGTGTCCTGGAAGTAGCCCAAATCAAGTCCCAGAGAAACCCTAAAAACCATTCCAGAAAAGCAGAGAGCAGATAATCAGTCTACTCCAAAAAGCAGGGAATGGGATAGGACAAATGGAAATCATTATCGGGCTCAGGCAAACTATATTTTGCTCACCCTCCTCCAACGCAAGCAGCGTTGATTTAGAAAAGATTTAGAAAAGATTTAGAAAAGAGAAACCAAGCATCTGAATTCAGTGCCCCTGACCCACCACACTAGGGACCCTGTAGGCCTTTGCAGCAGAATGGTGAAAAGGGCAAGGAAACAGCCAGCCAGCCATTCAACAAAGGACCCAAGAAGAAAAGTGTTCTGGAGGACATTCCCTTCAATTTTGCATGAAGTCCATTTGTGATTTTGTCTTCTCATTCACAGTCGCTGGCTGTGTAACTCCAGAAATTCAGAATGGAAGAATAACAAGCGCTCAGCAGGTGCATCAACCCATGGAGGACATTGCCTTTGATTGTGACCCTGGCTATGTTCTGAAAGGCAACAGTGTGACTCAGTGCCAACATGACAACACATGGGACCCTCCTGTGCCTGTCTGTGTGAGCGGTAGGTTCTGAGGCTGGATGTCGTTGTGTAGAGATAAGCGAAAATGGTGATTCTGTTTCAGGAGGGAGAGTTCTTCTTTGACGGTTTTGAATAGAAACGGAGAACTTCGAAAAGAATAATTCTGATAAAAAGTACTTCCCGTTTGTTCTTTGGCAAGAAGGGTTGCAGTATAACAGTAGAAATCATAGCAATTCCCTGCCCATCAACCATCAATCTTGAATACATTTTGGCATCCTTTATCTTGAGCTAATTAGGTCCGCTTAAATAAAGGAAGTGAAAGCAACACTGATTATCTGCTGGTCAGGCACCTTCCTAAATGCACTTTTCCAATCCTTACATTCTCTTTTCTTCCTCCAGTTGTGCACTGCCAGCCCCCACCAGATGTGCCAAACGGGAGTTACAGCAACCAGAAAGACACAGCATATACCCCTGAAATGTTTGTGAATTACACCTGTGATCCTGGTTATGCTCTTATTGGAGAGGCCACTATTTATTGCACATCATCAGGGACATGGTCTTCCTCTGCCCCTTTCTGTGAAGGTAAACGTTGTCCCACAACCCTTCCGTTCTCAAGCTGAGGTGGTGGGCACTCCCTCACTGAAAAGAGAAGGTGTTTTAGAACAATGAAGGGAGAGAGAGAAAAAAATAAGAAGACAAGGTTATTTCTGTGTCTATTTCTTGAGTTCCTTGGACACCATATCATGGACAAATGGATTACTTTTGACGGGCTGCATAGCAATATGTGTAACAGATTATCATTATTTTGGGATAGGGAGGATATGAAAATACTTGCGGTACCAAAACACAGTGCAATGAAATTACCAGGCTTAGGATTTAATGCAAGTCAGTCTTTTCTCGCAATGGGATTCGCTTGGCCCAGGAAAGAAGCTGCCTGAATCATATCACAACCGTTTATGTCTAACCGCCATAT